CGAAATTAACAAGTAACATTTTTGAAATAAAATACAATTGATCAAAATCTAAATAAAAATTAATTATTATATTTTACAATCACTTTCAATAATTTTGCTTAAAATTTTTACTTTTCAAGGGTCACGCTTGAATTAATTTTATCTCGATAGTAACTTATTTTGATTTTAAATATTAATATTTTTTTTTGAAAAAACCTGGAATTTCTATTTATTCATTTGTTATTTTTTATTAATCATAACTATTCAAATGCATATATATATAACAATGCAAATATATATATTTACACATTAAATGAATTTTAGTATTTTAGTTTGTATCAAACTTTTTTGTGTTGTGTTAAATTTATATATATTCTCTTTTTAATTCCGATTGTTAACCCAATCCATTGATACTATAAATTTATTTATCCAAAATAGTAGTAATTATGTTTTATTTTTGAGTAAAACAAGAATTTATTATTAACCTTGATATATGAAAGTGAATCTTAAATGGCAGAGAGAATCGCAATTATTTCATTATTTTAATCATATTTGATTACACGATACGATATTAAATTTGTGGTGTTAGTGTTAGTTAAGTAAGCTAAACTAAACTCACATAAAATGTAAAAATAATATTTACAGATGTATTCGAAATAATGCCATTTAAAAGATGTCTTTATGGAATAGTCCTTTACATAGCAAAATCTCATATGTTATTATATTACTATAGTGAAAATTAGATATACAATATTAATATCACATTTGTAAAATTTGGTAATTGGATATAAAATTGTTAATATAAAAATATATCTTATTTAGGTTAGCTTATTTTCATTACAAACCAGAATATGAAAAGCTGATTTATTGAAATTTATTGATGAAATAATATATTATTTCATTACATATTTTTATTTAGACAGCATATTTTTAATGATAAATATATTATAATATCTAATGAATTTAAAAGGTTTATAATTTATGAAAATATTGTTATAATAAAATTTTATTTGTCTAAATTTAATAATTATTGTAATTAATGGGATAATGCAATATATAATATTATCATAATATATATTAAAAGATTTGTATTATGTTAATATGATTTAAATTTTATGAAAATTTTAAAATTATTATGATAAAGCGTTTAGTATTCTTCTCCACTAATATAATTTATTTCTCCTTCATATACTTCAGCAGGATTTCCAACTATAGTCTAAATATTAATTTAAAATATTTATATTTATTTTATTTTTTTTTTCATATTAAAATTTCATTAATTTACTATATTATATCTAATAATATTTCATTAATATTTTAAAAATCGTTTTAAATCTCATATTTTTTTAAATATTAACCTAGTATAATGTCATAAAATTATTTCTTTGACATTAAAATAAATACTATAAAATTCAGATATATTAAAAAATTTGCTAAAGAAAGATCAATTTAATATATTTTAATACATTTAAATTGGATATGCATGCTTTATATAATGCATTAAAAATTCGTTAATATAATAATATCCAAATAAACATTTCAAAAAAAATATTTGATTCATCTCCATTCAGATTCCTCTTTTAAGGTGCTCATTTTATGATAAGAATTTTAAACTAAGCATGAGCACGAATTAAAAGTTCACAATTCGATTCTTATTTTGAATATTCTTATCGTCGATAATAACATTTGTAGGGACCTAAATCGTTTTCTACAAAGTTCCGGAGTTTAAGGTTCCACTGCTTAAAATTTTGAAGCCTCTTATCAGAAAAATTATAAAGATTTATTAGGGTATTTTTATGGATTTCTATTTTTTGTTTTTTATTTAGAAGGGAGTTGGAGGTCGGGAAGTTATAATGGGGGTAGGTATTCTAAGAAGTTCGAATCCTAGATATAATAAAATAAAAGAAAATAACATTTTATAAATATTACAAAAAAAATTCTAACTTACCTAGGTTTTGAGAAGATACTTCAACTGCAAATTTTAAATTCTACAAAAATGCTAAAAACTCCCACGGGAATGTGTCACATATCAAATATATGGTTTTAAATGACAATCTAAACAATAGCCATTTATTCTAGTAGTTAGGTTAAAGTCAGAAATTCTATAAGGCACGTTCCTGTACAAACTATTAGTACTGCCTAAAACTGGACAAATTGTTATATGTATGTAATAATATAATTCTCTCAATTTAAAGTTGTCCTATCATAAAATGTAATTATAATATTTTTTCTCCCCATCTATTAAATTACTTGTTAATATCCAGCTTAATCTCTACTAATGATAGCTTACAGAATCAGGCCCTTTCAATTTGACAGAGTAGTGTCTTAACCAATACGGTTTTTCTCATTATAATTAATCACAAAAATAACTTCTTGCCCTTAATTTCAAAATCATACTCCATTTTATCTACCTTTTCTCCCCTTGAAGAAATTCCAACTCTTTCGAAATAATGATAAATTAGGTGGACATTGGTTGGAAGCTTTGCCTAGTTAAAAACTTAAGAAATTCTTTACTAATGAACAACTAAGATCTACCTTGGGTCATAGACTGGGCTGTAACATAGAACAACCTCATGGTTTCCAAAATGGTAAAAGCAGATATGGGTTAAATTGTATTTAAAGCAAGGGTCGTCAAAAGCGCCATTCAGCAAAACCTAAACTAATCAGTCTAGTTCTAAAAATGCTCGAATCCTTAAAATTTTAGAACCTAGCAATCATTCATCAGATCATGGCTTAAGACCCGATGGCCTCACAACTATCCCAAGGTCTATGGGTAATACTCCCTTCTGGGATTATATTTACCATCTTCAAGGCAAATAGCAATTGCAACACTCTCACTTAAGCCGAAACAAAAGAGATAAACAAATACAAAACACTGGATAACCTAATTTTTACTCCAATTTCCACTTCTTTTAATGAACATATTGCCTCTAACACCTTCCTTTTTTAAAAAAAACTTTGGCCCTATCATACGAAACCATAGCATTGGAGACCAAAGAATTTCTTTTCTTAAGACAAAAAATATAAATTGAAGTATTCAAATAAATCTACTGCACGTTTTCAGTGATGTTTTTCATAATTTTAAATCTACCCCCTCCCCTTTAATATATAATTTTTTATTTTATAAGTATTTTTTAGCATTCTAATAATTGAATTTGAAGATATAAATTTTTTGTTAGATGGGATTTATATAAATTTTCTTATTTTTTGTATTAGCGTTGATTTATGCTAAAAAGCATCGCAGTTAGGATATTTAGGTGTTCTAAAAAAGAATACTTGTATGAAAGACTGAAATTTTGCTGACATGATAAGCATATGTTGGCACTTTCCAGGCATTATTTTACATCATTATAATTTATTTTATTTTACTTAAAAATTTTAAGCTTGTTATTTTTTATTACTATAAATTATCTATTACTTTCTAAAACGTTAAAATTATTTCTTTTATTGTCATCTAAGTCACCATTAACTTAAAAAACAACTTTTATATTATTTATCATAGAATCTAAACTAAAAAACTTTTATATTTTGATTTTTTACTAACTTAAAACCAATGATTTTTTTTATCATTATTACTTTTATATACATATCCATCAACTGGTAATTATATTTAAAATGGTATATATATGACATGCTATGATACATGAAATCTGATGTTTAAATAAAAGTGAAATATAGTTTGTTCTAAATTCAATCGGTAATATTAACCAAAGAGGAAACCTATACGATTCCAGTATAATGTCCAAGATTTCAGCACATTTTCATTGTAATAATTACAAAACACGAAAATTTATTTATTGAAAATTGATCTTTTGGATTTGGTTCAATATGTTTTGATAGATTTTAAAAGTATTATCAAAAACTCTATTATTCATCCTCTCAATTACAATATTTGTTAAAGGGATGTGAACTCAAACCCGGACCCTGTACCATCGTATTTTAGCTGAACCCAAACCCGGACCCTTTTTAAAAGTGAAGGGTCCAAGGGTTCTAGGTGTCATAAAATTTTTAAAAATATAAATATTTTTTTAAAAAATAATATAAATTTTATAAAATTTTATTATATATTTTTTTTGTGGAATCATTTATTTTATCTTCGCGTTTTTCTTTCAATTTTCTTCCTGGACTTCCATTTTATTTAGAGATTGATATCATAAATTATTTTCCAGTGTAATAATATTTTATTATGTAAATTTATTAATATGCTATGTTATAGAAATACGTTGATTATTTTGAAAGTGAATTATTTTGTAGTACAAGTAATATTAATTTAAATGATAATGCACAACACGTTGGTCCTTAATTTGTATGATGCAAGAACGATTATTAAGTTTGAAAGGTAAAGTCATTTTGTCGGAAGATGATTGGTGTGCCAAATAAAGGACCTTACTAGTGTATTAGTTCATTTAAAAATAACAATATTAAGATTACAATCAGAACAATTATGTTTATTTGATTTTAAGGCATATGTATTAGATGCCGATTAGATTTAGAAAAATTTACAGTCCTTTTTATACGAAATATTAGAAAACATGAATATCGTAAGCAACAGTATTTGCAAAATAGTGTTGCATACACTCTATATATTTACCTCTATATTAAGTTTTATTGAGTATTGAGCAAAACAAATAAAGACCATCGTAAGGATTTATGGCATAAGCAAAACTCCATTATTTACAATATATTGGAGGCTACGGACAATACCTATTGGTTGTAGTGATAATAATAATAGCAACATTGATGATCTTAAAATTTTACTTTTAGATAGAGAAAAAAAAATTAATTTATCATCAGATAGAAAGGAGCAGTGTCTACATGGCCGGGGGGGTAGGAGACAAATGCCTCCAAAAAATATTGGCATTTTGGGGGGTAGGTATTAATTTTGGGGGGTAGATATTGATTTTTGGGGGGTAGGCATTTGTTTTTGGGGGGTAGGTATTGATTTTTGGAGGGTAATTTTTGACTTGTATTATGATATTTTTAAATCCAATAATCGATATGATTATCGTTGATTTTCTGAAAAATGTCAATTAAAGAAAAGATATCTGTCAATTTATAAATATTATACACTATATTTATTTTTTTAAATTTTTAGAAAATTCATTTACATAATGGGATTTAGATTTTCACAGTATCAATTTTAAATTATCAATATATATTTTTTTATAATAAGGACCTTTTGAATAAAGAATCCCTTTTATGATAAGATAATCCTACTCAATTAACAATATAAAGAAACATTTTTGGATTTTAAAAAGGTAATTTTTTAAGCATATAATTGCATTTTCCTTAATTTGATGATAGATAAATAAATATAATAAAGAATGAAGCTATTTTTATTTAATCTTAATATGTATACTTAATAAGTTATCTGGGTTTTGAACCATGGCAATTATTTTTGCTAATAATTTTTTAAATAATCATTTTCAATGGGGTAAATATTACCACATTTTTGTGAGGCAATCAGGTTGGACCCATAATTGATTTCTATTTATGATAAATGATTCTTTGAGGTAAGCGTAAATTATATACAAAATTATAAGTGAGAGGTGAAAACCATTGTGTGATAAAAAATTTGTTAAAAGAATTGATAAATTTTTTATTTCATTATTAGATAAATTTTATATAACATCAAATTTTCCATAATATATTTGGCCTTTTTTCTAAATATTTATAGAAATCTTGGGAGAATGAACAGATAATCTATTCCTCTCATTTGATTATTGATTTAAGAAAAGATTTCAATTAAATGAATTGACAAAGTGATTCCATATACTGAAATATTGTTTATTTTTGTTAACAATAAATTAAATTTTTGGATATGGCTTGGGAATAATCTTTGAAACCTATGATGTGGTTTGGGTTTGGATTTCCATTAAACATGAACTGGGCCTGAAAATTATTTTTACTTATGACCTAGGCTGGATGAAGAAATCAATGCCAGTGAAGGTCTCTAATTTCAATGATTAAAATATATCATTTCTCAGACTTTATTTGAAGATAAATGAATGGGCAAATCACAAATATGCCTGTTTTCAATTATTTGCAAAATTTATTAGGATTGTTAATTTAAAGAAACTATGATTTCAAAGCATCATACATTTCTAAAAATTGTTGGACACTAAGAAATAAAGAAATCAATTGTGAAGTGTATAATGGAGGAAATATTGATCCATGATTGTTTTGGCATAAATAACAAAAAATATTATATTTTTTGTGACCATGCATTAAGCTTACATATAATATAATAGGAATCTTTTAAGAAAACATTATCAAAAATATAAGTTAATAGCTGATAGTCCATTATGAATGACTGGTAATCAGAATTTTCTTCTTTATTCAATGATGGGTGCATAATAAATTTCCTTTATATGATGATGATTGAATCAGTAAATTTTTCATTATTTTTATAAAATATGTTAATAGAGTGTATATTTATGAATTTTAATTTAAAAACAATAAGGGTCTAGAATATATTTTTTTGATTATAAATTACAAATACAAATGAATAAGAATTTATTTTAAAAGATTTTAATATATTTTTTAGATTAAAAATATAATACAAATGAATAAAAATTTATTGTGCACATATATTAAAATATCTAAATATATATTTCTTTAATATATTTTGTAAAACCACTGGAAAATTTTAAAATTACACCCTCATTTAAACAAATATAAATTTAATTTCTGAATCACACCTCATAAGATAGGAGAATTTTAAGATTCAGCCATCCACCGTCAAATAAAGGATAAAATTATGATTCTCCATCATTCTTGATGGCCATCAGTGAGTAAAAAAATATTATCTAAATATTTATTTCATTTTTATTCTAGATGCCAAGTAACAAAACAATATATAAAGTCAAATGTGACTATATTAATTGTAAAACTTCTAAAATAAGAAGTGACAAAATAAATAACCATTATAAACATAAACATCCTCATGTCAAGTTATCTGATATCAAATTTACAAAGATAGCTATCAAAAAGGATAATAATTGGGTATCCTTAAATAAAGATATTCCATTCAATATCACAAATGGGGTTGAAACCAAGTTACAAAAAAAATCAATAACATCTTACTTCCAAAAAGTAATTTTTTATATATATTATTTTAATTCATGACAATAAATATAAGTAAAAATAACCTTAAATTTTGTGAATTAGTAGAAACCAATTCTTCATCTATAATTTGAGCATAATACTTTTAATTTTTATTAAAGATAAGATTTTTAATATATAGGTACATTTTTATTATGCCCTTTATCAATTTTGAAGGAAATAAATTATAAGAATATTTAAATATTTCAACTTTTGTTAAAAAAAAATTTATATATTATAATTAAGAATAAAATAAGTCATTTGCCTAAAATTTTCACTACTCTTTATTTAATAATTAGCACAAATCTTTTATTGAAGATTCCCAAATTATATTATCTCATACAATGCCCAGTTCCAGTGATCTGCTGATTTTGAATAATGAGGTACTTAATTTAAATAAGATTTGTTTTATAATTTTGAAGGGAATAAATGAGGATATTCAGATATTTTCATGAACAAATTTTAATTAATCTTTATTTAATAATTAGCTCAAATCTTTTACTGAAGATTCCCAAATTATATTATCTCATACAATGCCCAGTTCCAGTGATCTGGTGATTTTGAATGATGAGGTACTTAATTTAAATAAGATTTGTTTGATAATTCTGAAGTGAATAAATTATGAAATATTTTCCACTTTTCTATATCTTAATTAAGAATAAAATTTTTATTAAAATTAAGATTTTCATAAGTAAACAAATTTTAACCACTCTTTATTTAATAATTAGCATGAATCTTTTATTGAAGATTCCCAAATTATATTATCTTCTCATACAATGCCCAGTTCCAGTGATCTGCTGATTTTGAATAATGAGGTACTTAATTTAAATAAGATTTCTTTTATAATTTTGAAGGGAATAAATGAGGATATTCAGATATTTTCATGAATAAACAAATTTTAATTATTCTTTATTTAATAAGTAGCACAAATCTTTTACTGAAGATTCCCAAATTATATTATCTCATACAATGCCCAGTTCCAGTGATCTGGTGATTTTGAATGATGAGGTACTTAATTTAAATAAGATTTGTTTGATAATTCTGAAGTGAATAAATTATGAAATATTTTCCACTTTTCTATATCTTAATTAAGAATAAAATTTTTATTAAAATTAAGATTTTCATAAGTAAACAAATTTTAACCACTCTTTATTTAATAATTAGCATGAATCTTTTATTGAAGATTCCCAAATTATATTATCTTCTCATACAATGCCCAGTTCCAGTGATCTGCTGATTTTGAATAATGAGGTACTTAATTTAAATAAGATTTCTTTTATAATTTTGAAGGGAATAAATGAGGATATTCAGATATTTTCATGAATAAACAAATTTTAATTATTATTTATTTAATAATTAGCACAAATCTTTTACTGAAGATTCCCAAATTATATTATCTTCTCATACAATGCCCAGTTCCAGTGATCTGCTGATTTTGAATGATGAGGTATTTAATTTAAATAAAACTATACACTCTTTAATAATAATTAGCAAACACACAAAGTTATTGAAAATTCCCCAATTATATCTTTTTTTCATCCAATTATCAATCCCAATGCAAGCCAAAATATTTCAAACATTAAAGGCCCAAATATTATTCAATTATATAAAAAAAAGGAGCCTAATGACCCTTTTCATTTCATATTCTTTAGAATGACAAATATCTTGATTAATTTCATAATTTCCATAGGCCCATGTCAGCCATGTTCAAATATATTTCAATATCCTGTTACTCACAAAAGGTTTTTAAAAAATTTAATTTTTATTAATTTTTACGCATCCATTATTTCTACTTTTAAATAGGAGCATGAATATATCCTATTATAAAAAGGTTAATATTGATGGTTCCCTCAAACCAAGAAATTGGTTATCCTATAGCACCACTTTAGACAAAGTCTTTTGTCTTTATTGTCTTATGTTTGGTGGCCCTAAATCCAATACTTTTTGGACTCAACTTGGAGTAAATAATTGGAAAAATTTTAAGCGTGACTTAGAGAGACATGAGTCATCTTCTATTCATAAGGATTGTGAATACACCAACATGACTTGGCTTGCAAATAAGCGTATTCAAGATCATTTTCTATCAAATAGGCTTGATATAATAATGGAAAATCGTAATATAGTTCATAATATTATTGATGCCATTATATACCTTATAAAATGTAACATAGCCTTTTGGGGCACTAATTCGAATGAAGGTAATTTTATGTGCCTCATAAAATTAATGGCAAAAACGGTTCCAACTTTACGGGCATACATTGATAACAACGAAAAATTGAGGAGAAAAAAATCAGATAAAATTTCAAGACCTTATATAAATTTATTGTCATATGGCCATGTGAAAAAAATTATTGAAGTCATTAAGATAAAAATAATAAAATGTATTATTCAAAAAATTAAAGAGAATTGTGCCTATAGCATCATATTAGATGGAACATATGATGTGTCTAAAAAAGAATGCATTGCTTTACTTGTAAGATATATAGAAGATGATCCGCATCCACATCCTGTAGAAAGGATCATCCATGTTTTTACAACATCAGAAACCACCGGGGAAAATATAAAGAAACATGTTTTTTCTAAGTTCAAAGATCTTGGTCTTCCTCTTGATTATATGGTTGGGCAAAGTATGGATGGTGCAGGGAATATGAGAGGAGTATACAAAGGAATGCAGGCTTTAATATTGAAAGAGGCTCCAAAAGCCATATATATTTGGTGCCATGCACATAGGCTCAATTTAGTAGTTGCTCATGTTTGTGGATGCAAAATAGAAATGAAAAAGGTAATGGGAATATTGGATGAGTTATATAATTTCATGAATGGGGTAAGACGTCAAGGAGTGTTTGTTAAATATCAAATGACAAAGTCTAAAAAATCTCTTAAAAGAATAAAAAATACAACAAGGTAAATATAATATTTTTAATGTAACTTATCTTTTTTTAGAAATTGGTCATCATCTTATAAAGCTGTAGAAATTTTTTTAGATGTTTATGAACATATTATAGCATCATTAAATGAATTAAAAGATTCTAATGACCCAAGCACCTCTTCTATTGCCGATGGATTATTAACAAGAATTAAGGATGAAGATTTCATATTAAGTCTATTTATTTTGAAAGAAATATTGAAATGCACACATGAGGCTTGTATTGAAATGCAGGCAGTTGGTAATGATTTGGCTATGGTAACTAAATTAATACAACACACAAAAAATAAATTACAAAGACTAAGAGGTTAAAATTAGTTACGATTTCTATAAATAATTTTAAAATGTAGCTAATGGGGATAATATTTTTTTAAAATTGCATTCCTTATCTAACAGTTATTTGAAAAAGAATAATGTTACAACGGAATTGCATAATATAAAATCAATATTCAAATTTGATCAAACAGCATTCAATAATTATGTTAAACAAAAAAAAAACAAGTTGAATAAAAAAAGATTTAAAATTATTATTTAGCATTATAGATATAAAAGGGAAATATTTTTCCCTGTGCTTGATACAATCATTAATGATTTAAATGAAAGATTTAATTATGATTGTTTAAATTTTTTATCTCAAATATCTCTTTTTACACCAGCTGGAATTATAGCCAATGATAGAATAGAAGGGTGGCAAATATCTCAAATTTGTCATACTTACCAATTAAATGCTCAAGATATTGCTCGTGAATATAATGATTTTCGATCTTTATATTTGGATTCACAAGCAATCATTTATTGCAAGGATCTTTTGAAAATAAAAAAGAATGATGGGTTATATATTGATGAAAGTAATTTATTGATATTTTATTTAAAATTATATATAATTAAAGGTATTGTAAACGATGAAACCGAGGAAGATATCAATAACGATAACATAATTAATACAAAAAAATGGATAAAATATTCATTTATACTACCATATCGTCTTTTAAATAAATTAAATTCTTATTCTAATTTATATTTATTATATAAATATTTATTGACTCTACCAACTACTTCTTGTTCAGCCGAAAGAGTGATGAGCAAAGTCAAAATAAATAAAACTAGAATGCGGAATAAAATTTCTGACCCCTTTTTAGAAAATTTACTTCTAATATCCAGCGAAATTGATGTTTTTGAAAGATTTAAAATAGACGACATTATAACGCGATTTGCATCTACGTCTAAAAGATTAACTAAATTATTAATAAAATAAGTTATATCTTTTTCACAGCTAATTATATACGCCTTTTTAATAATGTAAATTTAATTTAATAGTTTTTTATATCATTCTAGTCCGGTGCATAATATAATACTATATTCATTTTATTTAAATATTTTATAATAGTTATATTTACATAAATGTTTTTATAATTCCAGTGCAAAATATATTATATTCATTTTATTTTAATATTTTATATAAAACTTATATTTACATAGATGTTTTTATAATTCCAGTGCAACTATATTCATTTTTTTCTCATATTTTATATAAAAGTTATATTTACATAAAAAAATTTATATTTCCAGTGCAAAATATACTCTATTCATTTTATATTTTATATAATAGTTATATTTACATAAATGTTTTTATAATTCTTGTGCAAAATATACTATATTCTTTATTCTAATATTTTATATAAAAGTTATATTTACATAAAAATTTTTTTTATATAATAGTTATATCTATATGAATGTTTTTAATTAATATAAAGGCATTAGTATTTATAGAATCAAGCTATACCTCTTTAAAATTACTCATTTTGTTTTTTTTACTTAATATAAAGGTATTAGTAATTATAGAATCAAGCTATACCTCTTTAAAATTACTCATCTTATATTTTTTTACTAAATTTTTGATATTTTTTTATAGTAATGTAAATATGTTATCTCATTTAATACTATTATATTAATTTTTATGAAAATAAATTGATTATCAATCAAATTATGAAAAGATTGCACTACCTACTTAAATATAAGTTAATTGAAAACGGATAGTAACAATAGTTATCAGTTTGTAAATTTTTTTTTCCAAAGCAGGTCTGAATGTTTGTAAGGGTATAAATAGTGACTTAATATAAGATTTTCTTGATTAAGGCAAATATCGCGGCCGAAGGCCGCGAAATTTTTTTAGGGGGGTAGGGGTAGATTTGGGATGGGGGTTGCCTCCATCAAATTTTCTGCCATGTAGACGCTGGAAAGGAGGATCAAAAAATGCCTATTGCATCTTTAATAGTAAAGTTCTCAGAAGTTAAGAGAATAAATAAGGGTATAAATATTTTAAAATTCTGGAAAATTCTTCAATATATCCAGAATTATTTATCTTTTCTAGAATCTTAATAGCTGTACTAGCAAAACAAGTACAATATTTTTATAAAGATAACTATCTATTTTAGGTAAGAGTAGAACGTGAATTTTCATCTTTGAAATATATATTATCTACTTTACATGGAAATTTCAAGGATGATATTTTAGAAGATATTATTATTGTGCGAGAATAAAACATTTATAATATAAATTATTTCATTTTAAAATTTATCATTTGTAAATTAAGAATATGTATATATTGAAGTATAATAATAAATGAATGAAAAAAAATCTTATTTTGAGTCATTATTTTTATGTTCCCTGAACCCGGACCCGAACCCTGGAGTCCTTTCAAATTTTATTCCTGTAACCGAACCCAGACCTGGACCCTTTTTTTTGACGAAGAGTTCACATCCCTGATTTGTTATCCCATCATTAATTTATCGATTACTCATATAAAAGTTAAAATAAATTATATTAAGGGGTTATTTGTATAAAATTAATACTTTTATTATGATTGGAATTGAATTTAGAAATTCAAAAATTTTTATATTCATAATCTGACCTATTTAACATAAATTTTTAAGGTGATACAGTTTAATTTTTAAACATAAATATTTATACTAAATAATTAACCTCAAAATCTATATTAAGAATTGCCGAGTTTGCTAAATTTCTAACATTAAATCTAAATCTTCTATAGATTCCGACATCGGGTAATTCTCTTCGTACAACTATGGTTAGTCCATCCTTATCATATTCTACCGTTAAATTACTGGTAGATATTATAGTAGTAGTGGTTGGAATTCTTACACCTTTATCTCAATTAGAATTAAATTATAAAATATATATTTACCTATCACATACAAGGGTGGTAGATGAAAAAGCATTTCAAAACTGCACACAGATTCCGTGGTTGGCTTTCTGACAGAAAAAAATTGTACATCCGTAGGAAGCTCTTAATATATTATAAATAAATATTAAATATTATATAATGATATATTATTATATAATGATATAATATTAAATTATGTAGCACTAGCAACCAGTGGCGTAGCTAGGAATTTTTCTTAGAGGGGGTCCATACATATAAAAGCCTGGGGGCTTCGCCTTCAGACCCCCTTTAACGGGCCTTCGGCCCTTTTGCTCGGCCTTCGGCCGGGTTTATCTTACAAATCATAACCATATCCTCGATAATATATAATAAATATATTTTTTTAAATGCATCAATAATATGTTATTATAATTTAGTAGATTACTCTCAATGACTTTATAATAATACTATCCAGAATAATTTAAATAGTAATATAATATAATATCCTTCCACAAACATCAAAACCAGAAAAATATAAATATTAATGGTGTTTATTTGATATAAATCACTATTAAGTCTTTTGAACGTATAATCTAAAAATAAATTTCTGCTCTGGGAGGGGTCCAAACCCGAAAACCACCCCCGTAGCTACGCCACTGCTATATTTTTAATTTTTGGAAGGTAATTACGCATTCAAGTGATTATATCTATTATTGATTATCATTTTCAGATTTTTATTAGGTCTCCTATAATTTGATAATATGAATTTCAGACCAGATGAGAGTTTTTATAAAATATATTTTAAATAATGTTAATAATGTTAATAAATAATATAAAATATTTAATTTAATTTTACTGTGCATATATATTCTAGGCAGAGATTGGGGTATTTCTTCATTTAAATATATATTATCTCTTCCGCCGGACAACAAACAGTCTTGTAATAGTTTACGACCAATAATGGGAACACCTATTATTTCAAAATTGTAAAATAACTTTTTTGTTCATAAACTAGTCTAATCTTTAATATTTAGTTATTGGTCCCTGAAGAGCTCTAGTAAAACTTACATATTTTATTTTATTTAACTACAATCATATCAATCAAATTTCCTACACCCTCAATAAGTTACAATTAATAAAATTATAAATTCTTTAAATAAAATATTTATAGTAAAATTTATTTAAACTTTAAAAACATAGTTTAACGAGTCTAATATTATGTTGGGGTGGGAAAAATAAATTGATTAAGTAAAGTTTATTTTATTTTACATCTCCGTTAAATCATTTCTAATAAAAATGAAATTAACTTAATTTTTATGAATATATCAATGAAAATATTTATTTTTCTTACCAAAGATGAAACCCAGTCCATAGTTGGTCGCAAAGGTCAACAAAATAATAAGGCCCTATAAAAATTGTTATTGGTAGTCACACATCTAATAAATATAAATTGTTACTAGGAAACTTGAGCGCATTATATAATTGAAATTTAGTGAACAAAAAAAAGTTGTAACATATTAATTATTCTACACACCTTTCTAAAATTTTGTTATAATTGGAATTTTTCCATCCTTATAAGTTATATAGAAATTTGATATATTTATGTAAACATCTATATTAAATTTTAACATTGAAAGTTACATTCGATAAATTCTGCCTTGACAATTTGGTACAAGGTTATATTGAATCGAATTTACGTTTTAATGTAATATGATATTTTCCTGTAGTGTTATTTTATTTTATTAACTTTAAATTTTGGTAGAGAAATCAAGGTTAAATTTTCAAAATTATATAATTAAAAGTAAAAACATATTTTAATTTCATTGATGGAAATTTTAATTTGAATGGGATAAGTTAAAACGTTTAAAATTATACACTATTAGAAAATTACAAATATCGATTTATGGTTTTTGGTCGATCCTAAATACCTCAACCCCAAGATCAAAGAATTTTGAGTAAGCTCGTATCTAACTTAAACTTTAAAAAAAGATTTTAAGAATCTAAACCAAAATCATGTTCCAGAAATATGCAAGTAAATTCGAATCCTTGCCTGAGACCCTGATCTAGATCCTAAAGTTTTACTTAATCTGATCTGGGCTCTTACATTTTTTAAACCAGCCAGACCGAACTACTCGGGCGTGCAAAAATATTTTAAAAAAATTTAATTTTTTTGTATTAATTTTTTATATAATCAAAATATGCTAATTTGAATTAAAGATTAAAGCAATTAGTAAATTATATATTTCATTTTAATAACAAAAATCTTAAATAAAAAATTTTGAATAGGATTCAAAAATTAATAAAAAAATTTGGCCTGACTTAGGCTAAAAATATTTTAAGTTGCAGAGCTCTGTCCATTTTTCTGCCTAAAATCCAGACCATTTAACAATTCCTTTTATTAATAATTTTTTTGTATGATATAAATTAACTTAAATTTCGAAATAAAATAATTACGCGTCAAGACATTACTTCAAATTTTCCGGGGATGCATTACTTTGAAAATCTTACTGCAAAGTTAATATCTAAAATGTTTTATAGAATGCCACACCGAATTTAACCTCAAAATCCGAACTGAACTTATATAATTTTATAATTTATAATATATAAACCTATTTTAAAAAAAATTAAAGTAATTGAACGAACCTTTATAAACCATTAAGCAGATTGTTATTGGCTTTAATTTTACTAATATATTAAATGATGTAATGTAAAAAGGATACATAATATATATTTTTTTTTTATTATCATCTCATATATATCTTTTTGGGATGTGGAATTTACGTAAATTCATTATCCATCTATTTTGTTGATCGATTGATTTTTTATTTAACTTAAATTGTTTTTTATAGCCTTTAACTATGTATTTCGTTTAAATTGTTTTTTTATAATATATATATATATACCTTATTTTATATTTATTTTAAGTATCATTTTAGTTTTAGAATAAAACTATTATAAATCTAAATCTCCACCGTTATCTTTCACCACTGTTATCACCTATATAACAATATTAAATAATTTAAAGGACGATTTTTAAATTTAAACCATTGGATTTGATTAGAAATATATTCCAGCATGTGGAGAGTAGACAGACACTGTGAATTTTAGATAACTTTGTGGCAAACCTTTGTGTATTTTTTTCATTTATAAGAAAAATTTATAGAAAAATTAATATAAAATATAAGTAGTTTAAAAGGTGGCAGGATTGAAATATATTCCATTATCATATTGAAAAAGATTGACGAAGATGTATTAGATGATATTTTACTCATAAGTTGTAACCATAATTTTATATAGAAGCAAAAACTAATGTAAAAAATTTGGTTTAACTTTATAATGTATTTTACCATTTTATATCTAATATCATATAAAAGAGGATTAAAATTATTTCAAGCTATGTTGCATACCCTATATAAATATCTTATAATTATGGAAATGTTTTATTCTTGGAATATGAACCGAACCCAACCTATATATCAAAAATATAGCCACCCTAATTATACATGTAAAAACCATTAAACATAATTACTGTACTACCTCAAAAAAAATTAACGTCACATGTCTTTCATTATAATTACAATAGTAATATCAAAAAAATGGGCGAAACAATAAAAATACTAAAATATAGTATTATATATTTATAAACTCTGAAATCCATATATATTACATCATTTTCGATTCAACTTCATGTTATCATTTTTGCAGTCTTTACATAAAATAAAAGCCTTTCTTAGGTAATTTGTGTTAAGCGAATCAAAGTCTATTGGATTGGCAACCATCCACTCCATGGCAAATTCGGTAAAGTATAAAGTGTCCTATATTCCACAATTAATACTTAATTCTGTAAGATTCTCAATAAAGTATTTTTTTATCTATGCAGTTAGAACCTCTTAGGGCTCATCCCACCCTGAAAACTAGACCACATTATAATTATAATGTTCATGGAAAGGCAGAGAATTTGTTTGGGAATATATGTATCAGCGTTTATGGCTCCAGCAATTCCTTTCCGCATTCCATTATCCAAACGAAAATTCTAAATGAAATAAATATTTTTAAACTGATTGCATTTTAATACCTTTAGTTCTAATAACATGTTTTTTAATCTGAATCGATAAAAATTTTTAAGGATTGTAGCTCATAGTATCTCATCTAAAAACAGGAGAGACCCTTAATAGTAAAATGCTTCACATGACGGAAGATTATTTTAGTAGTTATTAGAAATTTTTTTTTTACATGCGTATCATATTTTCCAATAGAATAATTGAAATCAGTTTTAAATAATTATTTTTACAGTTTTTGAATATTTCATATCAATTTATTCAGTATATTTAATTTATATTTTCACAGTTTCAAAATAACATGATTTTTTTCTTTTTTGTCGGATTTTACCGAATATGGTATCTTCAACTGCCTTGACAGAAAGAGTCTGGTCAGCATATCGGAAAATTCATTCAAAAACGTGAAATAGAATAAAGAATAAAAGAGTCGAAAAATTAATATCAATCAGGCATAACATACATTTAAAGGATCACACAAATACATCATGTTCGAGATATCATCAAAAGAATTCGGATTCCGATTTATCGATATCAAGTGATGATGATATTTTAATTGCATCCATGAAAATTTTGATGCTATTATATTAGCTCCATGAATTTTAAACATAATTTATAATAAATACATCTTGTTGTAATTTATAAAGTTATTTTCAATAAAAACATGAAATGTTTGTAGTTATATTTTTGTCTTTATTTTTTAAATTATTTCCTTTTCCCTTAGTTCCCCATTCGGGGATTTTTTTTTCCAATTATTTATAGTTTTTTCCTCAATTTTTCAGGGGAAATTTACTTCATAAGAAATTCATTATGACGAATTTGCGAGCAAGTCATATTATAAAATATATTTCCAGTTAAGATGATAAACGTTAACGGGCCTCTTCTCAGTCAGTGGAAGACTTCTCCATATTTTAAGAAGTGCTGAAAAGTCATAGATGTGCAAACGATTACTAATCAAGGAAACGGTTAATATTACTAAAAATATTGAAAAAGATTCTCTATGATGAATATTATAGTTATTATTCCCCATTTTTTTATATTCCGATTTATGCATTATATCATATTATAATAAAATTATTTTTTATAATTATGATATCTAATGCCTAATTTTTTATGCAATATATATTTTTGCAATATTTCAATTTTTATATAACTTTTATAATTGCCATTTTATATAATATATTTTTTAAATATTTATATATATTTAAAAATTCCTTAAAAATAATATATCTATTTTCTCCCCATTTAATCTGCTCCTTCTTATTTTTATTTTTTTTAGGGGTTGGGGGTAAACTATCTTTACCACAAATTTAAGCAATTTAGTTCTCGAAATTAACAAATAACTTTTATATCTTGAAATTAAATACAATTGATCGAAATCTAAATAAAAATTGATTATTATATTTTACATTTTCATTCATTTTGCATAAAAATTTACTTTTCAAGGTTTGAATTAATTTAAATTAATTTTAACTATTATAACAAAATCCATGTGTGCGGCAATGTCTTTTTTCCGGCAAATTGTTATTTTTTCAACTTTAAATCATTTTTTTGAGCGCGATAATTTCGAAATATAATTTTATCGAAAATGTATTCCAGCACGTTTAGAATACTTATATTAGAAATTGTAGATATTTTTACATTGAATCATTTATAATTTATGTGAAAAATCTATGGAAAAACTATTATAAATTATATTGTGTTCAAAAGTTTATTACAAAATTGTCTGAAATTCATAGGGTAGGGATTTTTAAATTTAAAAAAAAACTCTATCAAAAAATGATTGAAAGTTAAAAAATAAAATAAGACATTGCCGGAGAAAACACCTTTCCTATATATTTTTTAAACAACTATGAATTTAGCTGATATCAAATTTTTTCGTGTTGTGTTATATATATTATCTTTTTAATTTCGATTGTTAATATAATCCAGAAGAAGTTACTGAACCTGTTGTTTTATCAGGAGAGGATTTTTCTACTGAAATTAAAAAACAATTGCATGAAAATAACTATTATCACTTATCAATAACCGATAATGATTTGGATAAAAATTCTGATGCCCAAAATAGTAGTAATTATGTTTTTTTTGGATAAAACAGGAATTCATTAATAACCTTGCATATGAAAGTGAATCTAAGATGGCATAGAGAATTGCAATAATTTTATTATTCTAATCATATTTGATTACATGATAAGATGTTAAATGTGAGGTTTTAATGTTAGTTAAGTAAACTAAACTAAACTCATTATCATAAATGTAGAAATAATATTTTTACAAAGATTTCCTAAACGGACCATTTTACATGTTCTTATATTATTATAGTGAAAATTAGAAATACAATATTAATATCTAACATTTTCAAAAAGTGAAAATTAGAAATAGAATATTAATATCTAACATTTTCAAAAATGAGGTAATTGGAGATAAAATTGTTAATACAAAAATATCCCTGATTTAGGTTAGCTTATTTTCATTACAAATTAGTAAATGTATAGTAGATTTATTGAAATTTTAGTAAGAAGAATATATAATAATGATATTTCTTTACATATTTTTATTTAGATAACATATAAATATATTATAATATCTAATGAATTATAAATGATTTATAATTTATAAAAATATTCTTATAATAAATTTTATTGGTCTAAATAATGATATATTTTTAATAATTATTGTAATAATTAATGGGATAATTCAATATATAATATTATTATATGATAATATTAAAAGTTTAAAATTTGGAGAAAATAAATTACATTTATTATATTATGTTTAAATGAATTAAATTTTATGAAAATTTTAAAATTATTATGATAAATATATATATGGTTCTAGTTTCTTGTGCTATTTATTCTTTAGTTTCTGGCTTTTCGTTGTTCTCTGGTTTTATTAGTTCTTTGGCTTCCAACACTTCTCTAGCTATCAATAGTTCTCTGATCTTTAGTGGTGGATTTGAGGTTGTAGTAGTCGCTTTAGGAGTTGTAGTTGTATTAAGGTCATAGGTGGCTCGTATTCTTCCATTAATATAAGTTATTTCTCCTTCTGAAACTTCATCAGGATTTCCAACTATAGTCTAAATATTAATTTAAAATAATGAATATCCAATTTGTTTTATTTTTTTTCATATTCAATTTTTAATAATGTATTAAATTAATTCTAATAATATTTTATTATTATTTTATCAATTTAAATCTCTTTTTATTTTCCTATATAGTATGTCGTAGTATAATATCGTCAAATTTTTACTTTTATATTAAATTAATTACCATAAAATTGAAATATATTTAAAATTTGCTAAAGAAGGATTGAACCGACATCTATGAGATATATAATAAATATACTTTCAATTAATAATTCTACTGGGTATTTATACCAGCTTATTTCTTGTTAAATATGAAGGATGTTTAATTTATAATTTCAATTATTAGATACCTTCAAAATATATTTATCATTGGTCAAATCCCACCACATAAATTTGAAGAATTATAGTAAAAAAATAAATTTTTTAAACCTTATTTTATTTATTAAAACGAATTCTAAAGTCATCTTGTTAAAACTCTTCTCAAAATAACATACCATCTGATACTAAAATTTTAATAGATTATATAAATGATTAAATGATTTTAGTTGTGTAAGTTTAGTAAACAATACACTTCAATATATTTAAATTGCATATTCATAATAACATCACTTTAAAAGGTTAAGAAAATAACTCAATAAATATTTTAACTGATATTTAATTCACCTCAACAAAGGTTTTCTTTTTATAGGATTAGCTCGTTTTATAATGAGAATTATAAGCTTATTAACATGAGCGAGCAATCGTAGATAATGACTTATGTTTAAGGGCTATAATCAGGAACCAAAAGCGTTTTAAAGTCGGAGCGATTGAATGAAACATATAAAAATATAAATTATTTCATTTTGTAAAAAAAAATTTTATTTGTAAATTATGAATGCGTATATTTATATTAAGTTTAATAATAAATGAATGAAAAAAAAAATAAGTAGTCATTTTATTTTTATGTTCTCTAAACCCTGAACACCCCTGTTCCTTTTTTCAAAATTTTGTTCCGATACCTGAACCTGAACTTTCTTCTTTTTTTCGAAGGGTTCGCGTACCAAGTAAATACATATTTCTAGTGTTGTTGATCGTCTCATTTTGAGCCGATTTTTTAAAGACGGCTAACTGAATATTCTGTTAGGAAATTTATTCCTGTGCAAGCCTTAAGATTTTGCTCATAGGTGGCACAAAGGATTGAACACTTCCTTCCTTCCCTTTCTTTCTTTTTTTCTTTCTGAAATCGACAATAGTTTTCTAGCTAAAATATTTAATTAGCCATTTTTAAAAATCGGCTCAAATTGAGCCGTTTAACAACACTACATATTTCTATCAATTATGAATATTTATATGTTATAATCAATAAATAAAAATATAATGTTTAAATAATGTTTAGAATTAGACTGTACCTGTAAGTTAAATTTTATTCTAAATTGCTGACCAACAATTTTTTAATTTTTGTGTAAAATAGAATATCATAAGACATTTGCATATGAATTATGATAAACATTTTATTATACGTATGAGAAATGCTCTGTGTTACAAGATGGAATATCATTTAAGATGTCTAAATATAAATGTATATTATGGAAATTAACATCTACTATAATCAACAAATGTATTGAATATATTTTTAACTAATATTTTTTAAAAATGTTTAATTTATTTTTTAAAGTATCAATTTTTCAAACAATTCGTTCGTTATGTTCTATTATATTTATGCTGATAAAGAGGTCAATATTTTCAATTTCAAAACATTATTTTAATCGTTGGAAATCTTTCTAACATATTAATATAACCTCTATCATCCTTTAAATAAATGTGAACCTCAATTTCAATGCCATTTATTGGATTTGGGGTAGAAATATACCTATAAAATATAAAAAAATTATCATGGATGTCTTAATCTTCGAACTTCTTTTATATTTAGAGATGTGTTTTGGCTTCAAATATTATTAATAATTTAAATTAACTTGTTTAGCTGGGTGTGTAGTGGATAGGTATAGTTTCCGCTGAAATCAAACTCTAAAAAAAAATCTTTTATTAAATCCTTTGTCTTTAAAATGGTTCCACAAAAACCTAGGGAAGAGTCTTGCAATTTTAAAATATCTTTAGTAAAATAATATTGGAACTAGCTCCCGTAATAGCAATCCTTTTCCACTGTAATTATCTACGACAATTTTATATTATTTATATTTTTCTTTAACATAAAAATTGGATTGAAAATTGACAATTAAGATTTATCTTCTTCTGAACCTAAAATCACATTAGAAGAGCAGGAGTTATCGTCAGAGGAACTCAAAAAGTTTGCAATTATTACGCGTTGTACATTAAATAAGAAAGGAATTATAAATGTAAATAGGAATTCTTTAACTAATTCCTAATTACATACTTGGGAAAATGTAATTAATTATAACTCCTTTTTTTTCAAAGTGGAATAAATCACAATTACTAATTATAAAGAAGGAATTGTAATTATGGAATTATTTACATATGTAATTAATTAATGCCCAACCTCTTTTGGTTTTGTATTAATAGGTTCGATAGATTTTAAAAGTATCGTTAACAACTCTAATATTTACTAATCCTTTCTATTATTATAATAACTTTTATTCCTCCATTAATTTACCACTAATATAAAAGTTGAAAAAAAATTAAAACGTATTATTTAAGGGGTAATTTGGATATTAATATATTTCCTTAAGTTATAATCAAAATTCAGAGTTGTTAAAGGATCTTGATATAAGGTATCTCGATATAAAAATGTGGTATCTGTATTTGTATCTAGATAGATTTTCAGTTAAAATATCTGTGTCTAGATATTATTTTAGACGATGTATCTTTATCTAGATCCATTTAAAAAGTATCTTTAACAACTCTGTTAAAATTGAATATAGGAATTCAAAATTTTTATTTATATTCGCCTAAATTAATATAAATATCTAATTTCATATTTTGAAATATAGTTTTTCTTAAAATATTTAAATCAAAACAAAATAAATAACCATAAATGCTATATTTAGGATTGCCGACTTTGCAAAATTTCTAACATAGAATCTAAATCTTCTATAGATTCCAATATCGGGTAATTCTCTCCGTAGAGCTACGGTTAGTCCCTTCCTATCATATTGTTGCTTCAAATTGTTGGTAGAAACTATAAGACGAGTGTTTGGAATTTTTACACCTTTATTAATAATATGAATTAAGTTATAAAATATGTATTTACCTATCACATATAAGGGTGGTAGATGGAAAAGCACTTCAAAACAGCACACAGATCTCATAGTAGGCTTTCTTACCGAAAGAAATTCTACGTTCGTAGGAATCTCTTAATATATATAAATAAAAAAATATTTTAGAATGCTATAATATTAAATCATGTAGCATCAGCAACTGATCCAAAAGATTTTATTATTTCTATTGATCATCATTTTCCTATTTTTATTAGATCTCCTAAAATTCGATCATATGTATATCGGATCAGATGAGAAGGTAAATATTTTAAAATGTATTTTAAATAATGTTAATCAAATAAAATATTTTAATTTGCTTGATTTTACTGTGCATGTATATTCTAGGTAGTAATTGGGGTACTTCTTCATTTAAATATATATTATCTTTTCCGCCTGATAATAAACAGTCTTGCAATAGTTTACGACCAACAATGGGAACACCTATTATTTAAAAATTGTAAAATAACTATATTTTTTTTACATAAACTAGTCTAATAAAATACTCTAATATTTAGTTATTGATCCCCGGAGAGCTAGAGTGCAACATATATTATTTTATTTTTCTTAACTAGAATTATATCATTAAATTTCTTTCATTCTCAATAAGTTACAATAATAAAATAACTAATTTTTAAGTAAAATATTGATAATCAGACTTTATCTATATACTTATAAAACTCAGTTTATCGAGTCTAATTTTCTGTTGCGGTGGGAAAAATAAATTGATTAAGAAAGTTTATTTTATTTTACATCTCCGTTAAAATCATTTTTTTTAATAAAAATGAAACTAATTTAATTTTTATGAATACATCGATGAAAATATTTCTTATTCTTACCATAGTTGAAACCCAGTCCATAGGTAGCAAAGGTCAGCAAAATAATAAGGCCCTAAATTAAAAATCGTTATTGGTAGTCCATAAAAATATAAATTGTTACTAGGAAACTTGAGTTCATTATATAATTCAAATTTGATCAAAAATAAGTATATAACACTAATATTTATTTGAAGCCTTTTTATACTTTACTAAAATTTAACACTTTTCTAAAATTTTATTATATTTGGAATTATTCCAACCTTAAAGGGCATATAGAAATTTGATATGTTTTCATGTAAACATCTCTATCTAATTTTAACATTGAAAGTTACATTAGATTGATTAGCCTTGACAATTTGGTATGTTGAAACGAATTTGTGTAATATGATATTTTTCCTGTTTTTTTTTTATTATCTATAAATTTTGGTAAATATATCAAGGTTAATGTTTTAAACATTATTTATTAAAGGTAGAATAAATTTTATTTCATTGGTGCCAATTTAATATGATATGAGATAAGTTAAAAAAAAAATTTAAAATTATAGACTATTAGAAAATAACAAATATCGATTTATAGAAAATTTAGTCGATCCCGAATATCCCATTCCTAGTTCAAATAAATTTGTCGGAACTCATATAACTAAAACATAATTTATAGATATATGAAGATGGATTTGAATTCCTGGTTATGTTGAAAATCATTGGACCTAAAATTTTACAAAATAATTTGAGCTGGGTTCCTGTTTACTTTTTATTAAACCAGCCGAATCGAACATGGGATTGAAAATTTAATTTTTTAAAATCTTTTTACGTGACAATTTATAATCAAAATAAGGTAATTTTAATTTTTATGATAAAAGACAAAGCAATTATTGATTTTTACTTTAATAACAAGAGCTTAATATAAAAAAAAAATCCGGTCTTAGGCTGGGAATAAATATTTCAAAGAGAGAAAATTCAGTTTTTGAGCAAATTTAACTTTATTCATTTTCAAATTTCTCAAGTAGGAATTATGCTGGACTAAGAATTTAAATTTTAAAAATATATATCTTAGGAATAGATCGTTATCATGACATAAAAAATAAATGTGATATAAATTTGATAATTACCAAAAACCGGAAGTACAAAACCAAAAATGGTCATAGGAAAAAAAATGTATTTTTTTCAAATTTTTTTTTCTATAAATGTATACCATATCTTTACAAAATCTTAGACTGGGATGAAAAGGAGTTATGACTCTTTACACATGGCATATGGTTAAAATTGATTATTTAAGATTATTATCCATTAAATATAATAGATACTTTCATAATAATTTTTATTTATATTAGATCTAAATGAAAGGTCCTTATTTTATTATTATTTTTTTTATATAGGGGGGAAGGGGGGGTGATTTAAACTTTGGTTAAATTTTCCTTCAAAATTACAGGGCAAAATAATTGTAAACTGGCTAAATAATTGCTATAATAACAATCAAAATTTTAATAATATTATATCAAAATTTTAAGATCAGGCTTTTAAATAGATTTAGAAAAAGATAAATAGTGTAAAAATAAAATCTAGACACAGATACATCCTCTAATCATACATGCATACCGATTTTTCTATTGTTCTCTAACTAGAACTCTAATTATGAGATTACTAAATATGAAAACACTATTTTTACATTTTATTGTCATTCAATTCGAACACCATATAAATAATTATAAAAAATTGTCAATACCCCTATTTTTATCATTCTTTTGAACATATTCTCATTTAAAACGAATATTTATTTTTAAAATTTTTTTTACCTTTATAAATTCTTTATTAAAAATCAGAGGAATATATGAAATTATTTTAAAAAATTCTAAATAAATTTTTTTGCTTAAAATGTGCATCAATAGTAGTGTTTTTCATAATGGGGTTTATGGCTAAGCAAGGATTTATATATTCCTTTACATGATAAAAGTCTCCTTCACAATCTTGAACTGATATCTATAGATTTAAATGAGATTATATTTTTATACATAAGTTTTAATATTTTATATAATATTTTTTTTTAATTAGTTTTAATATTTTTATATATAAGTTTTAATATTTATATAATATATTTTTTTTATTAGTTTTAATATTTTATGTAATATATTTTTTTATTAGTTTTAATATTTTATATAATATATTTTTTTTATTAGTTTTAATATTTTACGTAATATATTTTTTTATTAGTTTTAATATATTTATTAAATATTATATTTATTAAAATTATATGCAATAAAATGAATTTTGCATTTCAAATATTTTAATTTTTAATAAAAAGGAGTTAAATAAAAGTATATTTAAAATATATCTTAAAAAGTATCTAAAAACAGATATAGATCCCTTTTAGTATCTAGATATAGATACTTTTTATAAGGGCGTTATCTAGATACAGATACCGCATATTTATATATAGATATTTTAACAACTCTGATATCATATAACAAAGCATCCGAAGAATTTAAATAAATTTTTACTTTCAATTTATTAACTCCTAAGTTAATAAAAATTCAAAACATTTGTCTTTCAAAAATTCGTTCTGCTTTCAAAAATCTTTTTTCAAGATGATGAGATATTCATCATTGCTTTCATATATATATATATATTACTCCTCTGATATTATTTCTTCCTTAGGTATATAAATCGATGTTGTCAATATATGATTTTTCTATGGACGATGCAAGTTTGCTCGAACTGTTAATTCCCGAAACTGTCACAGAAATCTTTACCCTGAGTGGTTACAAATAAATTGCCACTCTACCTTTATCCAAAATCTTTTTCTTGTTTATATATGTTAAAAAAGTTTTTTTATTATTGTTATATTGGGTACCTGCCCCTTCAAAAAAATAATAAATTTTGGCTATTCTACCAAGTCTTTCTTTCAAGAATAAGATCATTTTTGTTTGACTTAAATAAAATGCACATGCGTTAGTTTTAAACAATCTGATTTAACAACAAAGTTTACATGTTTAATTAAGTCGTCTTAATGGTATTAAATCATGAAAGGGTAAATAGTGGCATGATTATTAACTCAAATAAGGATTGTTATGAAGCTATAAGAATCAGGAATCAAATATTTAATTTTTCGATTCGATAATTGGCAAATTAATTGGAAGATTTTGTCAAAGTTTCATGAGCAGTGCGTTTAAGTCGTAACCATTGTTTAAATATTATATAATCTCCCATTTTAGGGGAGGCCGGGGTAAAACAATTGATATTTCGCATTTACTTTAAAATATTTAAACATCAACATAATAGAATAGAACAAATTATACATTTATATGTAGTCGAATCCCTGATCTACAAAATAAAATAAGGTGTAGCTCTCTACCTATAATACTTTAGGAGCTGTGATTAATTATGTAAAGGTGTTCCATTTTCGCCATTTTACCTCATATCTAAGGGTAACCCAACTGCTATAGATTTACATCTTTATATAGGAGCTATCTCGGGGTTTCATTAACAATTTTATGATTTGTAAAAAAATATATATGGTTTAAGTGCTTATGTAGACTGTCCTCACATATTTGTAAGTTTTAATGTTAGCTACAATGTGTTATTTTTTCAACTTTAGATCATATCTTGAGTGCGTTTTTTATAATTTAAAAATCTGATTTTGCCGGAAATGTATTTCATCATGTTTGAAATACTACCCTATAAATTTCAGATAATTTTGTCTTAAACGTTTTGAACTTAATATAATTTATATTAGTTTTTCAATAAATTTTTTTATAAAAATTATAAATGACTCGAAAATTAATGGTAGCATTATCCCCTATTCATAAGATAGGTATTTTATACATGCTGGAATACATTTCCGATAAAATCAGATTATTTAAATATAAAAAAAAATGCGCTCATAAAATGATTTAAGGTTGAAAAAATAATACATTCCCGGAAAAAAACGTATTGCCGCTAACATATATAAATGAATTTTAGTTAGTATCAAATTTTTTCGAGTCGTGCTATATTTTAATTCTCTTTTTAATTTCGAACTGTTAATCCTAATTAGCCGTTAGTGTTGTTATAATTTTTAAAAACTGCTAACTCAATATTTTAACCAGAAAAATATTGATTAAGTCTTGAGATTTTTAATAGATGTCCAAACCTTTGTACCATCTATGAGAAAAGCCTTCAGGCTTGCATAAATAATTTCTAGATAATATATAGAGTTAACCGTTTTTTTAAAAATCAGTTTAAATGGAGCCGTTTAACAACACTATTCGGTCGCAATTATTTTTTTTGAATCAAACTAGAAATTTATTATTATTAACCTTGACAAGTCAATCTAAAACGGCATAGAGAATTGTATTTAATTTATTATACCTATCATATTTGAGTACATAATGCGAATTAAATTTATGGTGTTAGTGTTAGGTAAGTTAAGTTAGCTAAATTAACTTAGTTATTATTGTTGTATCTGTCGATTTATAATTGACATTTATGGACGTTTTTCAATATATATTTTGAAAAAAATATCTTTTCATTTTTACTTTGTTTATTGATATTTTGGGATTAAATATAATAAATGAAATAGGTGCATGTTTAAAAGAAACCTTTTAAATATAATTTTCCGTTTGATTTCAAAGATATTTATTGCATACCTAACGGTTATAACAAAAAAGATTTAGTTTCTTAACTCAGTGGCGTCACTAGGGAGGGGCGCGCAGGGGCTCGAGCCTCTTGAAAAATTTGAATATCCCCTGTTTGCCCCCTCAATGATCTCTTTTAGAATTATATTACGTAATATATAGATTTAATGTTATTATTTAAAAATTTATAAGACTTTTTAATACGAGTATATTTTTGATATTATTACAAACTACTATTATTTTAAGATATACATATAATATACTAACTCAAGGTGCTGCCACAATAATACATAAAATCTTAATTGCTTTCATCATAGCACTCTATTTCTTATTTTATAATTACAAAATATTTCATTTCTTAATATGGCATCCTTGCAGTGTAAATAACTTAAGGCTTCAATATATTTACATAATTTCTTCTAAAGATTTTTAGTGTTTTGTTTTATCAATTTATCTAACAAAATTCTGATGCTAACATCGTGAGTGTCATGACTATGACTGCAAATTAACCAGCATCTATTATTTGTGCGGCAATGTAAGTTAAGATTATTACTACAGCTGCTGAGAGCATATGATTGCATATTTTAGATGAGCAATAATGGT